ACTAATGCTTTTTCTTTTTACGACAAAGGAAAACCACAATCTTACTTTTTACGTGGGTTGCGTATTATGTGTGTTACGTGTGGGTCCGACATGTGCCACAGCACACACGTGGAAGTCAGAGGCCACCTTAAGCAGTCAGTCCTTGCTGCTTCCCACTCTCTCTTGCTTTTCTGCCCTGCTGTGTTCTCCAGACCACCTCACCTGTAAGCGTCTAGACAGTTCTCCAGTCTCCATCTCTCATTCCGTCCTAGTGCTGAGACTGCGGGTGTTCCTGGAGTCTGAACTCAGGTTGTTAGGCTTCCGTGGCTAGCGAATTTTACCCACTGAGCTCTCTCCAGCCTCATCCTCCCCTCCCAGTGTATGGAAACAAATTCCATGTGACATAAGAAGTCTAAGAATTATTCCCTGCTTCCTGCCTCCTTCACTGTGGTCTCATACATGGTGGGGTCTAGGCTTGACCAAGGGTTTGTTTTTTCGTTTGTTTTGTAGGTAGGAGAAGTGAAGTAGATCACTGAGGGAAGGTGCAGAGGAGACTAAGGTCTGTCTCACTTCTCCTTTGGCTTGCTCCAGGAGGTCCCCAGTGACCCTTGTGAGAGCATGCTGTCTTGGCTGAATGACACTTTGGGAGACAACTGGCCTTTCCCTGTGTGACCTTCCGTGTGCTAACCTCTGGGATTTCCCCCTCACTGTTAGTCTGTTGAAATTGGGCCACTAGTTAGTTCCCAGCCGCATAGCCCCGAAATAATCACACAGAAACTGTATTAAATCACTATCTGCCCCATTAGCTCTAGCTTCTTATCGGCTAACTCTTACATATTAATTTAACCCATTTCTATTAATCTGTGTATCGCCATGTGGCTATGGCTAACCAGCTAATGTTCTGTCCGGTGGGAGCTACATGGCTTCTCCCTAACTCCCCTTCTTTCTCCCAGCATTCAGTTTAGTTTTTCCCACCTACCTAAGTTCTGCCCTATCAACAGGCCAAGGCAGTTTCTTTACTCGTCAGTGGTATTCACAGCATACAGAGGGGAATCCCACATCATTAGGTCCTGTTCCCACTGAGAATTGTGGTCCATTGTGTTGGGGAGTGAGGCTCAGTCATTCTTCTGTGCTGATGGTGGGCATGGCTCCCACCTAGAGGGACCACCAGACTCCCTGTTTCACCTAGTGGACTCAGCCACTAGATGTAGGGTCATTTTATGGTGTGGCATCCAGGTGTTTCGATTTTTCACTCTGTGTCTCAGAGGTCAGTGACTCCCATCTCTGGGACTGTGCACTATGGGCACACACTAGTGCACCTGGCTTAGACTGTTCTTTTTTCAGGCCTTGGAGAGCTAATTCTCTCACCAGTCCCAATGGGCTTTGTGTGGAAGAAGGGTAGTCCTTCTGCGTGTCCTGGTCGTGTGTGTTCACGCAGCCTTTCCCAACTCGTGTCTGCCAGGGTTCATGTTCATTTCCAAGTCATGGTTCCCGCTCGTGGGACAGCACAGATGCAGACAGGCTGGCCCCGCTGCAGTTTCTTAGCTCCCACATCTCTGCTCTGCTAAAGGGCCTAGACAAGGGGCAGCCTCATCCTTGCTGGAGAGTCGGCTCATTGCTGGGCCACTTCTCTTTAGCTTTGAGGCTATGATTCCTCACGCCACGTGGATGATGCCCTCCAAACACTTGTTCCCAGAAGATTCTGTTGTTCTGAACTACCTGACTAGAGGCTGACATCTCTAGCTTCTAATCTGTACTGCAAGTTTTCCAACCTCTCAGCTTGAAAATTGTCTGACCTTTTTATATTCTCTCTTTCTCTTTCTTTGTGGGATTGAACCCAGGGTCTTGCCCATGCTAGGCAATATTCTACCACTGAACTATATTCTCAGACTCCTTTGTGTATATGTGTATGTGTTTGTGTATCTATGGCTACGTGTGTATGTGTGTGTGTGTGTGTGTACATGTGTGCTTAGGCACAGGGGACAAACCTGTGCCATTCATTAGGTACCATTCATCTTTTAAAAAAAATGAAAAGAAATATGTATATGGTTTTGTGTGAATATATGCCTGTGTACCACGTGTGTGCCTGGTGCTGGTGGAAACCAGAAGAGGGCGCCAGTTCTTCTGGAGCTGGAGTTACAGATGGTTATGAGCTGCCATGTGGATGCTGGGAACTGAACCCCAGTTCTGGAAGAGTAGGGAATGCTCCCATCTCTTTAGCCTCTCTCCTTTTTCTTTTGGAGACATGATCTCTCACTGGCCTCGAACTTACAAGTAGGTGAGGCTGGCTGACCACGGAGCATCAGAGAGCCTCCAGTCCGCCACCTGGAACTGATATGTTAATGCTGTCCTGCTTGACTTTTATTTATTTTTTTTAACATGTGGGGATTGAACTCAGTGTCTCATGTTTCCAATGCAAACATTTTACCAACTGATTTATCTCCCTGCCCTGAGCTCATCTGTCGCCCAGGCAGGTCCTCCTCCTTCAGTCCTCCTGCCTCAGGCCTGTGCTGCCAGCCCTCGCCCTTTTTAATCTTGACCACATGAAGCTGGCTTTGAGCTTGGCAGAGTTTTACAGATGAATCTTATTTTATAGTACAGAAATTCAGAAATCATAATTACTTCACTGAGGGTGGCTCCTAACCCTCTCTATTAGTCATCCCCTTCACGCAGAAATGGAATTCTATTTTAGTCTCCTACAGATAAATTAGTATATAGTGGAAGGGGAATTCGACTTCGGCGAGGAATTAATCGCTGCGATGGAATTAACACAAACATTCACCGTGATGTGTCTGTGCCTCGTACAGCAGAGATGTCAATGCAGATGCATGTGTGTCTCACTTCAGCGACGGTAAGATCTGCCATAAACGTGCACTGTGCACCAGCAGTAACGGTAACGACCACAGGTCACCTTCATAGTGTTTACTGTATGTAAAGAGCCATAATAAGCACCTTATATAGATTAATAAACAAACAAACAAACAAAAGGAAGCCATTCAACAGATGGAGTGGGGATGCTCCTGTCATCCCAGTGCCCAGTGAGCAGAGACAAGAGAGTCACAACTTTGAGGCCAGCCGCACTTCTTAGGGAGACTCTTTTGAAACCAGAAATAACCTCGCAACCTGTGATGTTTAGAGAGGTCCAGTGACTTTGCCTGGGTCACACGACTTGTGAGTGGGTGAAACTGGGACTCACATTGCGAGCCGTGAGCCTTTAGCCCACGACACGTGTGTGTTAGTGCCACCTCCGTGTCTCCGTCAGTACGTTTCCAGTCCTTATCTGGGTTTCCTTATTTTGGGATGGAAAACATTTCTTTTTGATCCTTACACATCATAATTTCTGTGATTTTAATTTTATTTTATTTTACTCTTAAGGAAGTCATTGGGTGACTGCAGTCTGGTCGAGTTTGCACCAGGGTTGTTGGACGTGCAAAGGGGATGTGAGCTAATGCTGTCAGTCTCAGTTTTCTTCCCGTAAGCCAACGTTTATAGCGTTAAAGCGTGTAGCTTCTGACTTCAGCAGGGAAGAGCCTGAGAGAGCCTGGAGGTGTTAAACCATTTTCTGCTGGTGCACATTTTACATTTTTGATCATCTCTTTTCCACCTCACCTCGGTGCACCTGAAGCTCTGGGAATGTTCTTTTGCATTTCCCAGAAGCAGCCAGCCCTCTGTGTTCATCGCTCTCTCCTCCGCACCCTCCCGTCATTCCCGTGGCTTCTCTGTGGTGCTTTGGCTATTGTCCTTGGGGAAGCCTCGGAAACAACCGGATTCTTAGGAGTCTGTAGGCTGAAGGCATGCTCGCTGCTCATTTTCCCAGCACAGAACTTGGTCCGGAACATAAGAGGTTAAAAAAGAAGTCTGGACCGTGAAGGGCTGTGACAGCTGTCCTAGGGGGAGCTCTAGCGAGCCCTGGTGGGCAGTGACTCATGCTGCTCTGTCACTCAGATCAGCTTTGGCCCCTGCCACACAGGCGGCCAGGTGGGGTTACAGCCAGAGCCGGCACTAAGGAGTGGGGAGCATGCAGCCTGCACTGCGGGGGATGTGATGCCGGCTTGCCAACTTCCCCCTGCCTGGTCCACTGCGGACGCTCTAGCCTGCAGCCATGGTAACACTTCTGGCTGGAAATGCCCCCGGGAGCCCCCTACGATGGGCAGCTGCTCACATCCCTGAGTGAGAGAACCTAGTAGGTCGACAGGCAGCAGCGACGATGTGATGCCCCCCCTAGCTGGGAGTTATGCCGTAAGGAGGTAGGAGCCTTGCCGCAGATGTGTATCTGTGGGTCTCTGTGTCCCCCCATTGGCTCTGGCTGCTGCAAATCACTGCAACTTTATTTGGCTGTTTTTGATTATATGGATTGAACTGCGGTGGATTCAATGGGCAGGATTGTGCTGGGGAGGAGAGATAATGAACTAAAAAAAAAAAGTGGTTAATAAGATCTCCAAGTAGATGCATCTGGCTATGAATGAAGCCGACTGCAGTGGTAACCCAATGGCAGTTCCACAGCCTCTCAAGCCCCCGGCCTCTTCTTGCCTCTCATTCTGGCTAAGTCATGAGACATACATACCTCCTATCTGACAGCGATGGATGTCGCTAACTAGTGATCATTCAGACCTGTCTGGAAGAGGGGCTCAATGGGTTTAGGTCATCTGGAACCCTGGTATTAGCCAGCTGGCATGGAGTGGAAGCCTGGAAATATCAGGCAGGAGCTGTCTGCTCAGGTGAGTTGCCCAAGTGCTTCCGCAGGAACCCAGTGACCTGTTTGACTTTACCTTTCACTTTACCCCCTGCCCTGAAAGGCAAGCTGTCTGCTGGTTGGTGGCCATGTTGGCAGTGAAGGGGTTAATCTCTTGTTGCTGTCGGAGCCGAGGCTGGGTCTGCCTGCGCTAGGAGCTGGGCTGAAAGCAGGCGCTGCAGTGCTGTCTCCAATGCTGAAGGAGCAAGGCGCTTTTTCCCCCCTCTCCGCAACAGTGTGGAATTCATCTGAATTTTTCTTCCCCCCTTCTTGTTTTTCTTTTAACCAGCTCCTCCCCCCTTCGTTCCCACCCTCAAGTCTGATGATGACACCTCCAATTTCGATGAACCAGAGAAGAATTCGTGGGTTTCATCCTCTCCGTGCCAGCTGAGCCCCTCGGGGTTCTCAGGCGAAGAACTGCCGTTTGTGGGCTTTTCCTACAGCAAGGCACTAGGACTTCTTGGTAGATCTGAGTAAGTGCCGGTGTGACTTCCCGGGGGACTTGCATGGATGCCTGGCCCACGGAGCCAAAGGTGGTGGTGCTGGTGGCGGTGGGAGGGTGGGGGGAGTGCTGCGGAGAGAAGCCTCTGAGCTGCCTGCGTTTGGAAAGCAGTCTACCTGTTTGGGGCTTGTGGGGCCAGACTGTTGTTGCTCAGCTCCGCACGGCATGTTAGGTGCCTGTTCCTGCCTGTGGCGTTCTCATCGTCAAGTGGGTACTTTAGGCTAGTTCTTTCCGTCTTCGGTCTTCCTTCGAGGGAGGAGAGAGAGAGTGGGAGATTTCTAGCCGTGCAGCTCCTTGGTCAGAGGGGAACCGTGTCTGAGTTAAACTGAGCCGTCCATCCATCTGTGCATCCGTCTCAAGAGGGAGGCTGGCTGGTATCTTGGCTGTACCGAAAGGATCCTAAACACCGAATCTCATAAGCTAAAGGTTTCCCGATGGGTTTAACTGAGCTGCAAGTGGCTGAACCAGAGCTCCAGCCGAGAGATGATGCTCGGCTCCTGTCCAAGTATGCTGCAAGATCAGAGATCTGGCGGCTGAGCCACTCTGAGCAGGGAGAGCACCCGTGGCCAGAGGAAGCCCCATTCCTGGGAGCCCCCAGGAGGGAGTGTGATGCAGCCGCCACTGATTCACAGAAATCGGGCTTCACAAGCGGGTGGGGGAAGAAAACCCTAAGCAAATGAAGTGACGAGAATTAGAGATAGCCAGGAACCCTCTTGACCCGGGAGTCGTTCCCTGTCTTTACAGGGAACGTTTAGATGAGGTAGCCCAGGGCTGGTTTGGAGGGTCCTGTTTCCAGACTTAGAATTAAAACGCAGTCACCTGGGATGTGGGAGCTTGATGACATTCTGTTCTCAGGGGAGCGAGTTCCCCTAGGAAGGTCTCAGGCCCCTGTGCTGTCCCCAGCGTCCCACCCTCATGCTGAGGTCCTTAGGGCTGGCTATGCTGGGTTACTAGTTGCTGCCCACTTAGGAGAAGAACACATTTTTATTTTTTAAAAAAGTCTGTCCTTGGTAGATTCATTCAAAACTGTTTGTTGTATTTGTAGCTTAGATATGGATTTGAGGTATGGATATAGTATTGGTTCCTGGATGGTGTCACCCCACAGGTGCAATTTTGAGGTTCTTAAAAAGCTGTCAGATTTTTTTTTTTAAAAAAAAAAACAACAGGAAATTGAGCATCTGATATAAGCTAGAAGAGTGTGGACTGTTCTTGATTTTTGACAGGGGCTTTTACAACGAAAGATGCCAAGGTGGGCTTCCTTTATCACCTCGCCTGAGGTCTGGGTTTAAAATCAAGGCGATGTCAGCATTATTGGATGTGCCTTTCCTGCTGATCTGTTCTCCCACCCAGAGCATCCCAGAGGATGGTAGGAGAGGCAGAAATCTCACTAGCTGTTGAATGTGGCAGAAGACAGCTTTGCAACGGCCCAAGCAGGGCTGGGAGATTTGGCATTGGTATCAAGGATCCAGGAAGGAGTGGAGGCCCAGTGGTGAAGGATGCACAGTTAGTGGGCAGAGTAACCTTGGCACAATCAGCTCACTGAAGGTCACAGATCTGGACCGGGAGACGTGTGGGGAGTTTCTGGTCTGATTAGTAATGGGCTGGATGTGCCGAGAGAAACCTGTCTGAAGGTGCTGTTCAGTGATCTGAAGAAACCTGGGAGGTCTTGGGGGAGTCAGGTTTTGGGGTCAAAAAGGAGGGGGATGATGGGAGGGAGCCCGGGCACCGCGGTTAACCTGAAGCAGAGTGAGATTAATTGCTTGTTGTTCAGGAAGGCTCTAATTGCTTCTTTCTGCTTCTCAGAGTGCCGAGTAAAGGGGCAACCTAGCATTAGGGCCCAGGCACCGGATAAACGTTGACTGAATTCACTCGTGAGCCTTACCCCCGGAATGTGTTTGTGTTGCCTTCTGAATTTGAAGGTTTGCGATTTCACTTTTGGCTGTTCAAAAATCTCTCTCTAATGCATCAACTGAACTCCCATTTATGCCCCAACAGAACGTTTAATAAGATTCTCATAAAAATAAAATTCCCTTTAACAAAGCCGTGCATTTGTTATCCGGAAGACAGAACTGGAGGCGTCTTATCTTTGGGGAACTTGATGCTTTTTCCATGGCAATTTGGGGCTGGAATTAGCAGCTTCTCTCTGTCTTGAGTCTCACTCTGTGGTATTGTTGTTAGACCTGGCTACCTCGCCAGATGTGACTCAGTGGGTGAAACCCATAGCCTCATTTTCAAACTCCTATCCACCTGTTGGTTGTAGGTGACCCCGGGCATGTTATTTGTAGGTGACCCCGGGCATGCTGGATCAGAGTTAATTGGGAAGCCAGTCAAAGAGCCTCAGAGATGAAGCTGCTCAGCAGCTCTCCCGCAGCTTCGTAGACATGCAGTCGCAGGACTCATTGCAGGCGGTGGCATTGTCTCCGGGTACCATCTTTGCCCTGCGGTGACCTCAACTTTCTCCCTGTGTTATCTCCTCCCGCTTGTCATTTTCAGCTCACAGGTTTGTGTTTACGCCGCGGTTACTCGGTCCTTACACCATTGAGGGAACCGCGAAGGCTAGCTTGTGCTGCACCGGGGAAACTGACCCCAGATTTGTCACCAGTGAACTGAATGGAACGTTCCGAGGTGGGGCTGAGTGAGCAAGGACTTTTCACAGAGACTGTGGCCATGGGAACGATTCATATTGTTGTGTTGTGGTCTCTCCTCACATTTTAGGATCTTTCTCTTTTTGCAGGGGACCCCAGGCTATTTTTAAGCCAGCCATTGCGTGCATCGTTAATTTTAGGTTTAGTGAGAAGTTCGGTCTCAGCGTGTTGATGAATGAGGTGTAGGGGAAGTTCCTTGCTGCCGAAGTTGAGAGCAGGGGAGCTTGGTGAGAGCCAGATTCATTTGGTTAGGTGTATTTGGTGAAGTTAGCTTTGAAGAGCGTCCGCACCAGTGACTCTATTCATGTCCCCCCACCCCACCCCAATCCTCATGTGGTGCTGGGCATTGAACCAAGGACCTGGTCTGTGCTGGGCAAGCACTCTACCACAGTGACCACTGAACTACATGCCCAACCCAACTCTTTTCTTTTTCTCAACAAGAACCCAGACCCATCTCCCATGCCTTGAATGCCTTGAGCCCTGTTGGTTTGAGCTTTACAGTAGTAGGGTAGAGACAAAAATCAGTTAAGTGGAAGGTTCCAGCACCCTTGCTCTGCTATCAGTGTGGGGCGAGATTCTTCACGTCCTTCTTCCTGGACTGAAGCACTGCCTCGTTATTTCTGGCCGAGTCGACATTTCTGCAAGGTGATGTGATCTTGATGAGGCTAGATTTGTGTGTTTCTGAGTTCTGGGTGAGCTATCTTAGGAAGGGTGCTCTTTCTTCCTTTTGTCTCTGGGCACTTCTTTCCTTCGTGTGGATCTGGCAATACAAGAGTCGATGGAGGAGTGGAGCTGTCTGACACTGTTTGTCCTCTCAGATTTCAAATGGCCGGTTTTCAGTGCCTCCTCTTTTTGTGGTTGGGAGTTCTTTGCATGGTATTTTCCTCAGTGGTGACAGGGTAACCAGGACGTCTTTCCAAAGGACTTCTGGGAGACCAAAAGAAAGAAACATATAAAGCATTTGCTCTAATATCTGGCATATGAACAGACCTCCTTCAATAGCTGCTGCCCTGTTTTTTGCTTTTTCTAAGACACCAGCCTATATTGATGTAGAACTCTTCTGTATATGCCAAGAGGCCGTGGAACTACGGAGTTCCAAGGCTGGCCAGACTCTCTAAGCCTCGGGAGTTTTTCTCCTGGGGGTGCTTAGATATTCAAGCCAACTACAAGAGTAACGTCTAGTTGACAAGAGGTGCTCCTTGTGGAGGAGTAGACTGGAGGACAGAAGGACAGGATGAAGTCCCAGACAGGTGCTTTCCCATCAGGTGCCTTAGCCGAGGAACCACGGGGTAGACGAGTCTCGAGAGCACTGAAGGAGTGAAGTCAGCTCATGCTTTCCTGCTGAGCGAATGGTGATGATCCTTCTTGGAATGCCTGTCTATTTCCCTGCACAGGCTGGGGTCTGCAGGGCAGGATGGGTCTCATTGATCCTCATTGTCCCAGACACAGGAAGACATGGCAGGCCCTCAGTGAATATGCATGCTGGAATGAGCTCACCCATATGCTGTGCTGGTGGAGGGTGAGGGTTAAAGGTCAGCTCTGTAAAAGACGGTGTATTTGGGTCAGTGGAGAGGAAGGTGAAAAGAGCTTCATGGGCAGAGGGCTAACTGGAGCCTGTTCTCGCAGGGTGACCAGCGCTCAGGCTCAGGCCTAAGCCCCTCACACAGACCAAAGCACTCCAACAACACAGCAGCCCAGGAGGAAGGACTGCTCACTGTTCTCCCGCTCTGCGTGTAGGGAAGCCAAGGCATGGAGAGTGTGAACTTGTCCACCGGGCTATGATGCTGTACCGTATAAATGCCCTGGGCGGGAGAAGTTAGGAAATGCTTGTGGGGTGCCCAAGAAGTAGATGCCATTCTGGAGAATGAAGAGCCATGAGGTTGGGGCAGGTATGGAGCGAGTTGACAAGCTGGTCTTAATGCTGCTTTTGTTTTTGGCCTTTATGCGTTTATTGAGTATGTGGGTTAGTATATAGGTCTCAGATAGCTTCTCATTGAGAGACACCGACCTGGGGTGTATGTGTGTGCGCATGTGTATGTGTCTGTGTGTATGTGTGCATGCATGTGTGTGTGTGTGTGTGCATGCGTGCAAGTGTACACATCTGTGTGTATATGTGTATGTGTGCATGTATTTGTGTGCGTGTCCATGTATGTGTGTGTGCGCGCACACGTGCGTGTGTATATGTATGTATGTGTATTGTGCATGTATGTCTGTGTGTGCGTGCATGTACGTATCTCTGTGTGTGTGTTCATGTGTGTGTGCACGCACGTAGGCACTCATAACCACTCACATTCTGACTTGCTAGAGAGAGCTTCATTGAGGACAG